CTCACCACTCCTCTCTCTGAAACAGCCACAGCAGCCAGCCTGGGCACCTTGCCCGTCCTGTACACGCCCTCCCTCATGTTTGGACGGGTGTGTCCCAGCCACCCTATCCTGGCCTGTTACCCCTTCTTTCCATGTCCTTTCTCTGTCCCCACTCCTTCAGATAGACCAGGGCTTGTCACCCACAGCCCTCGCACCCTCCAGTTCACCGTAGAGTTGTCTTGGGGGGGGTTGGAGCCCCGAAGCCTTGGATGCCCTACCTAGAAAGGCCCCATGGATGATTTTGAGACTCAGGAATATAGGGTCTGCTGGGGGCAGTGCTGCCGACAGACTGGCCTACTCTTAGTCGGTGAACTCCTATCTGCACCTGCACCTGCACGCACCCACTACCACCGCCATCACCACCCACCACCATCATCACTGCCACCAGCACCATCATCATCATCATCGCCGCCTCTACCACTACCACATCACCACTTAACTCGCTGCTGCCCAGTCACCACCACCACCACCAGCCATCCTTACCACCGACCACCACCACTACCCTATTTAACACATGGCTCCTTCCCCAACAGGGGGAAGCATTTTCCCCAGAGTCCCGCAGTCATCTTGAAGGGCTGCAACCTGGGAAGGTGCTGAGGAAGGTAGGCTAGCTCTGGAGTCAGACCACCCTGGGGCCACGTCCACATTGTTTAGTTCAAGAGATGTATGGCTTTAATGGCTTTGGTTTAGGCTTGCTCTCCTGTAACATGGGATCAGAGAGACCACGCGCAGCACTGCGCCTGGCACGTCTTAGGTACTTCATACACGGAAACAAAACAAAACAAAGGTGTTTCTTTGTTGTTGTGTGTCCTGTCCCCTCCCCGCCCACCCCTGTGAGGGCAGACCTCATAGCTCACCACTCAGTGTGTGTGTTCCTGCCTTCTTAGGCAGAGACCATCTTGGCTATGTTGGCACCTGACACTAGGACTCACTGGACTCTCCTCTGCAGCCAGGCCTTGAGTGAGCCATCTGCTAGTGGGGTGTACATTTCCAGGTACGGCCAGGCTGCCTGGGGAAGAAATCCTGAAGATGGAGGCATGGGGCAGAGAAGTGACAGAATCCACACTCTGCATGGCAATAGCTATCATGTGCAAGAAGCACTCTACTGTAAGTGAATTGAGAGAGAAAAAAGAAAAATCAGGAGTGGAGTAACTTGCCCCTAGTCACACAGCAAGTTTTGGCCGAGCTGAGAGTTGAACCCCGTTCGGTCTGTTTTGAAGGCCTACATGTTGACATCAATTCCACATCTCTGAGCCCTGAGAACTGGACATGTGTCATTGGGCATAAATAGGCCACCACGCATGCTGGGAATTTCCCTTCAGAATGTGGTTGATGTGTCCCCCTAGCTTGAGGGGGGACTCCCCTGTGCCTGGCTTCCTCCCTCCAGACCATCTTTGAGCCCCTTAGTTTGAGACTGGCTTGTTTTTCTTGTGTTTTGTGTGTTTCTTACTTGCTCCAGACAGGGGTTTCGCTGTCACTGTCTCACACTCTGGAGACAGCCATTTTTAGCTCCCAAGGGTCTCCTTCCTTCTAGAACAAAAACCAAAAGGTAATTGCATGAGTCTAGATGAAGCTCCCCATGATTCCACCCCTCACCTTTTACCCCTTGGGAGGAATGTGAGACGATTATTCCAAATTCTCCTCCTTTGCCTTTGTTTAGAAACCCCGGGTGGACAGGAGGAATGAACCTCCGCTTCCAGTCCTGGCTCCCTGCCTGGGGTCTGCTGTAGGGGAGGTCCAGGATGGGGTCGCCCTTGCTTCATCCCCCTCGCTGCCTTTGGAGATTCCCAGTGTTCAGTGTGCATTACAATCCCAGTGCCCGCCAGTCTGCCTGGATCTTTCATTGACTGCAGTCTGGCCAGGAAACGTAAACGCTGAGCCTTGGCTTTCTCATTGGTGGCATTGGGGAAGTGATGGCACCCACCTTAGACGTGTCCATGACAGGTAGCTGATAGACTGACTGAGTGTGGACCGTGTCGGCCATTACAGTGAGTGACTCCAGTAAGGTTTCCAAATGGCTCTTTCCAAACACAGTGGACATCTGGTCTCGGGCAGGCCTGTGCTGGAGGCCTTCAGGGCTGATTAGAAGAATATGCCATCTGCTTCGTTCTAGCAAACTCTGTCTCGAATCTCTCTACTGATCCTCTCCACCCCAGTGCAGCTATCACCCCCAACGCAGGATGTCACCGTGGTGACACACACCGGGGAGCCACTGGACATATTGGTGACTTGCCAGCTCATTCAGCTTTTACTCATTGAACCAAAACCAAGCCCACTGACTGCATCTGGGGGGGGGGAGGGGCGGCTATAGGACAGGGTAGAACTGCCTTTGTGGGCTTCTACTCTTTATGGGAGTAGAAAGCCATATCTTTCGCCTGTGGAGTGGCTAGTGGTTTCAAACTACTGACTTTGCAGTTTGTAGCCCAATGCATAAGCGTGACAACCGCCATGGCTAAACCGACAACATTCCCCATAGTGCACTGGGCTGTCTAATGTCCTCTGGTCCTCACAAGAACCAGAATTGGATTGCTACCCCCATTTTACAGATGAGGAAATGGAAGGAACACAGAAATGAAATTGCTTTCCCAAGTTACCATAGTCATTCCGCCTCCAGAGCCCATGTTCCCGATGAGGACACCATGTGGCTTTGTGATCAGCAGTGAGCAAACCCCTAACTTTGTGTTTGTTATCAGCTGAACAGAGGCTGGCATTAGAGGCCTCCTACCAGCTGGCTGGACATGCCTAACTGCCCACTTCTCCCCCACCCCCCTAGAACCCTGGCCACAGTAGAGCACACACTTAAACAGGGGAGCTCTAAGACGTCTGGAGAACAATCCCATTGTCTTGTTGCTCCATTTCCCCCAAACATTTTGATGTACACACATACACGTGAGGGTAAGCAAAAACAGCATTGCCACAAAATAGCGGAAACCTGCATTAAAACCAAATCATAAAAATAGTAACTTGCTGCCTGGATCATATTGGCAAATCCAAGGCCCAATCCTGGTTACAATTACATCCATAAATCGTCTTTTTTAAAAAAAACATTTTATTAGGGGCTCATACAACTGTTATCGCAATCCATACACACATCACTTGTGTAAAGCGCATTTGTACATCATTCTCAAAACATTTTCTCTCCACTTAAACCCCTGACATTAGGTCCTCATTTTTCCCCTCCCTCCCGGCTCTCCCCTCCCTCATGAGCCCTTGACAGTTTATAAATTGGTATTTTGTCATATCTTGCCCTGTCCGACGTCTCCCTTCACCCACTTTTCGGTTGTCTGTCCCCCAGGGAGGAGGTCACATATAGTTCCTTGTAATCGGTTCCCATAAGCTTTGATCTTGCTTAAAATAAAATACCGATGGGAAGATCAGCTCTTTGAGCTGGCTGATTTTTGCTTAATGCTTTTTTTCCACAGCATGAAAATGATCTTTTTTTTTAAAGGCATCCTAATGAGGCTAAGAACTTGCATGCAGCCATCTAGTGATCGTTGAGATGTGTTTAAAAATAGTGTGTTTATGCAAGTATGAATTGGAGCCTTAGTAGCAATACCTTTGGACTTACCCTAATATGTAGGTGTGTGTGTATGATGAAAACATCCATCCACACATTATTCATAATAACCAAATGTTCATAAGCAGTGAATGAAGAAACAAATTGCCGCAGATCCATACAGTATTGAACAGCCCTGGCAAGGCACAAGTCTGACACCCAGCATGAGTGAATCTCAGAAGCCTTAACTAGACAGAAAGGCATTCATGCCGTATGATTCCATTTACGTGAAGTTCTGGAAGAGGCAGAACTCATCCGGGTAGTGTTAGGAATCTGAATGGCTGTTTCCTCCGGATGTAGGGCGAGTAGAGCATTGGGAGGGAAAGAGGAAGGGGTTTTCTGCATGATGGAAACGCGCAGTATCTTGATGGGGTATTGGTCACACAGGCCCCCTTGACAGTACACCCATTACAGTCAGGTGGATTCTGACTCTTAGCAAGCCTCTAGGACAGAGTAGACCTGCTCCCTAGGGGGTTCCAGACTGGGAAACTTACTGAACGAGACTGCCTGCCCCGAGACTGCCTGCCCCGTTCTTCTCCCAGAGCAGCTGGCGGCCTCAAACCGCCCGCACTTCTACAGGAGCCCACTGCTTCAGCCACTGCGCCACCAGAGTGCCTTCAACAAGCTCACACAAGCTTCACACAAGTGCACTGGGCTGTCTAATGTCCTCTGGTCCTCACAAGAACCAGAATTGGATTGCTATCCCCATTTTACAGAAGATTTACTATCTGTGGCTTTTTGTCATATAAGGATTATGTGTAAAGAAAAAACAGTCTCAACAAATGAATAGCAAAATTTAGTCATCTTTTAAAAACCCAACTCCGATTCTGTTGGTTTTTTGTTCCGTGTTCTCTTTCCTCAGTACTCCAGTGTGGGCGGCAGAAGAGAGCACGTCAAAACTACGAGCAAGCCCCAGCCAGGCTTCCTGGAGCGGCTTAGCGAGACCTCGGGCGGAATGTTGGTGGGTCTCATGACGTTCCTGGCTTCCTTCTACATCATTTTCACCAATGAGGTAAAGTGCCCCGTGGGTATCTGTACAGAGCAAGGGTTTCCTCGTGTCCGGAGCAGAGGTGGTGAACCGGATCGTAGATTTGGTAATAAAGGGCCCTGTGGTAGAGAAGAGAGGGAAGTCTTCCGGCCGTGACCCACCTCAGAACTGATACAAGCAAGAAAGGGACCGTTCACACGCCTGACAGTCCTGGAGGCAGCTTCCGGCCGGTGCGGTAGCACAAGCCGTCTCCGTCCCTCCACCTCTTAGCAGTCCTTCTGGGTGAAAGCCTTCTTCTTGAGGGCTCATCCTTCTTGGGAGCAAAGGTGGCCCCAGCATTTCCAGGATCACATCCAACCAGCTTGGTCACCCCAGAGAGCAGAGGAGCTGTCTGTTTCTAAATCAGTTGAGCCAAAGTTGCAAGGGGAGCTCTTGGTGTGCTCTTGGGGGCTTTGCTTTCTCTCGGGCCACAGTCCTGGTGGCCAGAGGGATACCTGCTTGGAGAGCCTGGGCCGGAGTCAAATGATTTAGATGACAATGCAGATCAGTGAGTGTAAAACTGAGGTGGGGGGTGGGGGGTGGTGGAGGATGCAAAGGAACATTCCTGAAGAGACCCAGGCAGAGAGAGACACCAGCTAGTTCCAATGTGGTGTCCTTGCTGACATTGGCTGGAGGGGCCGGGGTGGGGAGCAGTGGAATGATGGGAGGAGGTCTGTTTGGAAAAGCAGGGATCCTGGGGTCCCGTCCTGAGCTCTGCTTGCTGCACGTTGGCTTCCCAGCCACCCAATGGTGAGGTGAGTCTCGGCGCTTGCTCTACAGTCTGCTTAGAACTCGCTGAGACTTAGCCATGTCCACTTTCCTTTGGCTGCAGGGCTGCGCATTGAGGACAGCGACTGCCCTGGCCGAGGGGCTTTCTCTTGTCGTCTCCCCGGACAGCATCCACAGTGTGGCCCCCGAGAACGAGGGTCGGCTGGTGCACATCACTGGGGCCCTGCGGACATCCAAGGTAGGTTTGGCAGTGGTCATGGCCCTCTGGTGACTCAGCACGTCACTGAGTACTGTCTGGGTGAGCATTCCAAATGCCACCACTCGCATCCGTGTGGCCCAGGCACTCCTGGTCCCAGTTCTGTATCTGTAAAACGGGGACAGCCAGTTTGGAAGATGCAGTGAGATGACATAGGTAGACGTCAGTGCCTGGCACAGGTTTGAGCCGGACAAATAGAGGCTCTAATGATGACTGACCATGAGTCACACTCCTCCACACATGCTTTGGCTATTGACACTCTCCTGTTTGAACACGGGGTACGTTGGAGTTGGGGCCCTGGCGCGGCGCCTGAACTGTGAGGCTCCTGATGACTGGCACTGAGTGGTCAGAACTTAAGGAAGGCATCTCTCCGTATTCTCCCAGGTGATCAGCTAATGAGCCATTGCTTGTCCCTGCTTCTTGATGCCGATTTCTTTCCCGTTCTGACTTCCAACCCCTAAGCCAGAGCTTCTGGGATGATGTGAGCCTCGTCCTTTATTGATTTTTGTGTATTCCATTCTTTGTGAAGCTATTGTCTGATCCAAACTACGGGGTGCACATTCCAGCCGTGAAGCTGCGGCGGCAGGTGGAGATGTACCAGTGGGTAGAAGCAGAAGAGTCCAGGTGAGCGGCCAGGAAACGAAGTCAGTCGGTTCAGGGAGGTGAAATGAAATGTAGGTGGCTTCCACTGGGACTCTTCAGAAATGTGAATAAGAAAACCTAGCCTCCCTGTTACAAACCCTTCAAACGATTGCAGTGGTTGGCTTTGCAATGCAGCTTCAAGAAAGGAGGTTGCTTAGCTGCCTTGTCTTGGAATTCATGACAAGGCAAGGTCCCAGGCCTTAAAGGGTGTACTTACACCAATGCAGCCACCCTAGTGTCAGTGCTCTGCGATATTGGTTCTCTTTCTCCCATGAGCGAGCAGAGTTGGCCTCTAGGCTTACACCTCGCCAATCCCTGCAGAAGTCCCCGAACAGGTTCTGGTGGCTGGGCTGGGGTTCCTTGGAACCAGGTGGAGTCAGCCCCATGGAACCGCATGGACACAAGAGGAGCGAGTGGGCAGGTGGCTGGACGGAGGCAACTTGAGAGGCCTGGGATGGGAGCTGCCCTGAGCAGCGGAGCCCAGTGGGTCTCTAGCCTTGGCTGAGCCTGGCAGAGGTGGTTTCTGGCTCCGGATGAGATGGAACTTTTCTCCAGTCAGCCTTGATGGGCTGGGGTGAACTCTGTCAGGGAGTGAGCACCCTGTCCCTGGGCAGGTGTGGGCAAGGTTCTGCTCTGCTGTGGGGTTGGACCTCACAGGGAGGTTGTTGCCAACTGGAGACGCATAGATTGGAGTGCTCAGGAAGGCCTGCACTTTCTCATCGCTGCCGGTGCTTCCCTTGCAGGGACTACAATGAGGACGGGCAGGTGAAGACAGAGACGAGGTACTCCTACAGTGAGTACTGGGACACACACACCCCTCCCACCCATGTGCTGGGCACATCCCCGTATGCAGGTCACCTCTGCATACACATTGGAGCCCTGGGAAATCTCTGGGTGCTAGTTTTTGGCACCCGGGTCTCCCCATACTTTGAATGAGGCTCTGGGCGGTCCCTTGAGTGGTCGTGACGTCGTAGAAGAAGACCCAGGCTCAGCGAGCTTCAGGCACGTGTCTGCTCATAGCCATGGCTCGAGCCATCTCTTCTCTCTGTGCAGATTCTGAATGGAGGTCGGAAATTGTCAACAGTAGAAACTTTGACCGAGAAATTGGCCACAAAAATCCCAGGTGAGGACTAAGAGAGAGGAGCCTTGTCTGCTCCTGGGCAGACATCTAGCTTCAGTTTCTTTATCTGAGTGATGAGACAATACGCGCCAGAATTTTTAGGCTAAGACTTGTGCGGAGAGAAAAGGGAGGCAATACCTGACACCTAGACCCCCAGAGAGCCCCCCTCAAAGGAAGCGTGAAGACAGGGTGCAGGTAACAAGTGCCTAACGGGGTTTGTATCTGTTCTGCCAGGGAAGCCTTTTGCCAACAGCCATGGGCGGAGAAGGTGGGGAGCCCATCGGGAAGGGCTTGGCAGATGCAGTGGCCTTAGATCCAGGCTTCCGAGCATTTTCAGAGGGAGGTGACTTGGGAGGAGGCGTTCAAAGGAAGGAACAGGCCTAGTGAAGCAAGGACTAGGCCCAGCAAGCCTGGAGTATGGACTGTCAGCAACGCGGGGCGAGGCTGTAGCGAGACGGACCTTGGATGCTGCACAGCAGGGTTCCGGTGGTGCAGGGGCTGGGAGGGCATGAAGAGTGTGTGGCCATGCTTAGCTTATGGCTGGGGGTGCAGTGGACAGGCTGGCAGGTTGAGGCAAGAGGATATGAAACTTTGGGAGACAGCTGGGGAATTCAACTGGGGACAGAAGCTCTCAGGTGGGACAAAATGTCTGTCCTGTCTGGGCTGGGCTGGAGCCCCTGGATGGCGGCCCTACCCAGCATTCCCCAGGGGGTCCCAGGCAGCTCGTCCCCTGATGGCTCACCGCACTGACAGCTGCCTCTGTCCCACAGCGCGATGGCAGTGGAGTCATTTACAGCCACAGCCCCATTTGTCCAAATTGGCAGGTTTTTCCTCTCAGCAGGTAAGTCTCAGTCCAGTGGGGG